ATTTCTTTTTATCTGTATTCCATTTTATAACAAACTATCACTTATATCAACATTTTATTTATGCAAAGACGACTATTAGCACTAGACAGTGAATATTTATGCATTTATGGGAAATTCGAGAGTGGAAAATTAAATATATTATATAATTGAACATATCAATTAGAAAATAAATAATATTATAATTATATTATATCATTTATATTATATAATTATGTAACTGTATATTAAAGTTATATCTCATTACAAAATTATATTACAAAATAATATTATATAATTTATAGAAATTATAGTACATAATATTATAAAAACTTCCCTACTTTTTACAATATTCATTAAGAAAACCATTTCCCATCATACCTCTATTTCCCTAATCATATTCATACAAATTTCCATTTGCATAAAGATCCACGATCTAATCACTGTTTCCTTCACTACCATCGAAAACATTTTCCACGTCCATTCTCCGAACAACAATTAACACTGGAACCACCAGATCAAAATGTCTCGTCCCATAATTGTCATTTTGAAATTATTAAAACTGTGAGAACGTTCTTACAAGGAATCATGAATCATTTATATATTTCCACGAACAGGACAGTAGTAACTGTTTCAAATCCCAACAAATGAACCATTTTAACCTTTGCAACGTCCAAATAAGTTCTAGCGAGTAACTTAAGGAATTCTAATTGGTCGGTGTTCAGTTCTAGTATTAAACTGCCCGCGAACGTCTCGTTCACAGCGTCTCGGTTGCATTATAAAGCCTTGAATATTGTTATGAAACTGCGCCACGCTTTATAAATAGCGCCACGTTGTTGAACCATGCGGGCCTAGTCTTATAGCAACGGGACGGTTCACCATTTCTAGCGCATAAATTGCACTTGGACCGAAGCTCGACCACGCCGAGGCCTCAAGGACACGTGTCTTGGTGCATCGAAGCCAAGAGGAGAGACCAGGAAGGATTCGTTGAATTCCCACCGGCACTTCCGGTGTAAATAAATTGGCGTACGGTGTCGTTGACACTGTGGCAACGACCTTATGTAATATCGAATCGCCGAGTTCGCGCCTTCAAAGGATGACAATGCGATTTACGATCTTTTGGCCATCATTGTTCCATTTTTAACACTTTGCACTCGAGAGGCGACCAACAGACATCTTTCGGGGTTCGTATAGGGAAACTATGAAATTTAATTAGTTAGTATCTTATTTTATGTAGTGTAAGTAGATATGAAGTATTGGAGTAAAATGGCTGTAGCCTTCAAATGGCAAAACTGTAAATCTGTTCTTTTGTTTAATCATTAAAGATCTTAGCAGTTTGTCTGGTGGACGTTTGACAAATTGTTTTGTTGTTGACTGGGTGACGTTAAGTTGAATTGTAAAATTTAGTACTTAATATTGTATCTTGTGTTACGTAATTAGATATGAAGTATTGGAGTAAAATGGTTGTAGCCTTCAAATGGCAAAACTAAATTTGTTCCTTTATTTAATCACTAAAGATCTTTGCGATACTTCTGATGGACGTTTAGCAAATTTTGTTGTTGACTGGGTGACGTTAAGTTGGATTGTAAAATTTAGTATTTAATATTGTATTTTGTGTTAATAATTAGATATGAAGTATTGGAATAAAATACTTCCAGCCTTAAAATGGCAAAACTAAATTTGTTCTTTTACTTAATCGCTAAAGATCTTTGCGATTTGTCTAGTGGACGATTGACAGATTGTTTTATTGTTGATTGAGTGACGTTGGATTGTAAAATTTAGTATTTAATATTATATTTTATGTACTGCAATGAAATATGAAGTATTGGAATAAAATTCTATCCTTGATTCGTACATTATTCCTTAATCAATACCTTATTGGAAATTGATAAATATACATGGTGGAAAAGTTTCGAGTGCAAAGTATTAAAAAGAACTGTTTTTAGTAATAACTAACAATTATTATACAACCAATAACATCAGATTTCCCCATCAAAATTTCCCATTCAAAAGAATCCATCATCATTGTCTTTCTCTCGAGATACAGTAAACGAACCACGAACACGTCATCGAACCGATTGTCTCCCGAATTTCTCGGTAACGTTCGGACAGTGGGATCAACTAGTTGTTGGAAGCTGTCCAACGAAAATTTTCTTTCGCCGGTGGAAAGCATTAGGCATCGAAATATGATCGATGATCCGGAGTATTTTTAAAAGTTGCTCGTGACTTGAAGCGTACGTGCAAGCAGAAATGAGAAAAGACGATCGAACAGCATGCGGAAAACAGGGCAAACGGGTTAACAAAACAACACAGAGTGTTAGTAAAATAGTTGCTGTCCTTTCTATAACATTTCACTAATTAATCACAAGTACAAACCACTCGGTAATTACAAACTTTTTCAGGTGATCAATCCTGTGAAGATCGGACGTGAAAAGGGCTGTATCTGCCGGAGGCGAACATTTTAAGGTTTCAATATTGAAAATATCAGATTGTTGTTTATTAATAGAATATGTGGAAAATTGTAGAAATATTTCAAGATGTGGGACCAATTTGCATGGTTATCGAAAGAGAACGATATTATGTCGTAATGAAGTAATGGGACTTGTAGAGATAAATTGGAAGCTCTGCAAGTTTTTGTATTTATCAGCGAATTACTCATGGGACGAGTAATTGTGCATTGTAAGTTGCTGATAATAATATCGGTAGAATATTGGTATAGTGTTGGTAAATTTGTATTGTGAGCCACTGATTATACTGATGTTAATGGGCTAATTGTGTTAGCTTTATATAGTGATTCAGTGATAATGGCAGTGTGATGTATGAGTGTACTATTTGCATAATATTGGCAAACTTGTATAGTGATTCATATAATGATTTGTAATTTTTAAAAGATTGTGCAATGATTTTAAACAATTTATATAGTGGTCTGTAATTTTTTAAAATTATATAGTGACTTTTAAAAATTTATATAGTGGTTTGTAATTTTTGAAAATTATATGGTGCTTTTAAAAAATTTGTATAGTGATGTTTTGTATAGATATATTAGTTGTAATATATTAGTACTAAGTAATATTGCCTAATGTTAGTAAATTTATATTGCAATTCATATAATAAAATCAATTTAAAAGTAATATAATAATTTTCAAATGTCTCTTTCAATGTGCAAAAAGGCCCTAGTATTATATTTCAATTCTTTGATGTATTTTTTACTTATGCCATCTATACTGCTCTACAAAATATTGTAAATGGATCACAATATTGTAAATAAAAAATTCTTGACCTTTGAACCTCTGTAACTTTGTAATATAAAGTCGTACAATATTTTGCTTTAGCTCATTTTAAAGCTTAAAGCTTCTACTTTTGACTACCATAAACCACTTTTTCGTACGATTTTTGTTCTTGATGCAATACATGGAAAAACAAACATACTTTTTCATTTCTTAAATTTTGAAAGTGAAGAAATATGTTTACTTTTCCACCCGTTAGATCAAGAAAAGATACCATAGGACAAAATGGTTTATTGCAAGCAAAAGTATAAAGCTTCAAGCTTTAAAATGAGCCAAAGCAGAATATCGTGACTTTATATTACAAAGTTACTTATGCTCAAAAATCGACAATTTTCCAGTTACAATTTAATAGTCCTTTAATTTTGTGAAGCAAGGTATAATACAGGAATTGAAACAATTTAAAAAATAACTGTTTCTAACTGTTATTTGACGGTTTTAATGAACACAGTTATGGAGAACTTTTATTTTGAATATTTATTATGAAGAACATAAATTTCAGATCATATAAGTTTCAGTTATTATTTCTGTATCACCCTGTATATGAATTTTATAACCGTTTCAGGTTTCATATTTGTTCAAAAATTATAGAAATATTTTAATAAACGAAATCACAACATTTTACATTAATAAATTAAGCAAACTTTAATCATAATATGTTGTGATCTGATTTATTATAAAACCTGGTACAATCGTTGCAAAAATCAGTTGTATAACTGTATCAGAACTGATATAGAACCTGAAGAATAACAGTTACATCACAAATCTATAAAACGATACAGGAACCTTCTGAAACTTACATAATTGAAAATTCAAGTTCTTCATAACAGTTGCTCAGAATAAACCTTCTGCATACCTGTTACAAATATCAAAACTAATATTATAACAGTTTCCAACCCCTGGTAGCATTCAATATTTCTACCCCACCATTCAGACCTGCCAACCGAAACAAAAAACAGTATACAGAGTGTCCCATCTTAACTTATAAATGCAATTGTTTTTGTGGCTATTCATTATTTAAAAACTATCTCAAATACAATGGTTATTTAACCTACACAGATAAGTAAACACTTTTCCATAGAAAATCATCTACTAATTGTAAGTACCCCCTTAAAACAGAAAAACATTTAACAAAAACTATTACAAGCAATCAAATTGACTTGCAAAATCTTACAGCAACTCCAAGAGTGCATCTACCTCGACTTCTATTAATTTACAATTCACTTACCACTTCACAATTGCTAAACCAATTTCTCCACTCCCATCTCAAAGAACTTATCTCTAATAACTAAAAACTAGAAACCAAAAATCCCGCATTTCAAAATAAATTCACCCATCTACTCTCAACGTTCAAACATTTTCTAAACAACGAACAACCCCTACCACAATCGCATTTACAAATTAACCCCCGTCACTCTGCGTTCACCACGAAGGTACCACTTGTAACATTAAAATCTCGTGCAAAGGGGTCAAACGGTCCACCCTATACACTCCATCTTAAAATACACGGCACTTACAGCCTCTTTCACGTCTCTCATCCTCACGAGACCCGCCCACGAAGGCGCACGCTCGCCGGAACGGACACGAGAATATTCCCAGTACCCGTTAGGGGATCGGGTAAACAGAATTCAGAGAGGAGAATGCAAAAACCAGTCGGCCGGTTACGCAACGGTGGTGCACGGGGGAGCAGGGGGTCGGGGTGGGCAGGAAGCATTCTAAAAATATTATGCGGACAAGTACTAGATATCCTCGGCGATCCGTCGAACCCGGAGTCGTTGCTCCTGGTGGAGTTCATCCTTTTGTCCGGGTCGTCGTCCAGCTCCGTGCACGTGGACCTGCTGCCGTCGGTGCTTCCGGTGGTCGCTGTACTGGTGGTGCTTCCGGTGCTGTCGCTGCTCACCGACGGTGTCCTCGAATGATGCTTCCGCCTTTTGACCTTCGCTCTACGGACTTTCGACAGGTCCCTAGGCGTCGCAGTCAGCAACGCAGTGGGCGTCGTGTAGAACATCCTGATGAGGTCCAGTGGCTTTGGCGTGGGAGTGCTCTTCTGGTTGCTCTTCGACGAGGACTTCGCCTCTGCTGGCTTCAGGCTCTCTTGCGCCTTGCTCTTCTTCGAGTCCTTGACCTCTTTCTTCGACTCTTTCTTAGACTCTTTCTTGGAGTCTTTCTTCGAGTCTTTGCTACCTGCCTTCTTGGTCGTCGAGGTTTTCTTCTTCCTAACGATCTTCTTCTTTTTAGAGGACTCCGGAGTGCCTTCCGGAGTGTCCTCGGGAGTAGCTGTCTCGCTGTCCTTGACGGATGCGAACTGCTGGTCTACTCTGTCGACGTTGGAGAGGTCGGTGTGGTTCTCCCACTTGGAGATCGTCGGTGTATCGTCTGGCCACTCGTTGGTTGGAGTCTTCGCCTCGTCGTCTTCCTCGACGTGCTGCGTGTCGGCCGTGGTTGGCGTGGCTGCTACCACGTTTATCAGTGGCAACGGGATCTCCAGAGTTGGCGTGGAGACTTGGGATGCTGCCACTGGGGTGTCTGGAGTGCTGGAGACTGATATTACGGTGATCGTCGATGCTGAGGAATCTTCTCGCTTGAACGGTGTTTTCTTTACTGTCGAATAGGCGTCTGGGGAAGAGAACTTGGACACTGGGGTATCCGGAGGACTGCCGATCGACTTCGCGGAGATCGTCGATGCCGAAGAATCCTCCCTCTTCAAGGCTGTCTTCTTCACCGTGGAGAACGCGTCTGTCGGAGAACTGGTCTTAGAGACTGGAGTACCTGGAGGACTGATGATCGACTTCGCGATCGTCGATGCTGAAGAATCCTCCCTCTTCAAGGGTGTCCTCTTCACCGTAGAGTACTGCTCTGTCGCCGGACTTACTGCAACAGTCTTCGACATCGGAGTAGCAGGAGGACTGGCGACCAGCTTCGAGATCGTAGACGAATCCTCTTTCTTCAGGGGAGCCTTCTTCACGGTAGAATACGGTTCCTGGTTGATTTGTATCGTCAGGTTCTTCTTCTTCCTGATCTCTTTCTTCTTCAGGGAGCCAGGTCTCTCTTCGCCGACACACTCAGCCGACTTCTCCTCGGCCTTCCGCTTCTCCTCGCTCACGGGGATGTTACTGAGAAGCTGCTGGCCGGGGACGCTTATTTTAGGACCAGTCTCTTTTTTCTTGTCCAGCTCTTCTTTCGCGCCGGGGTCCTCGACCGGGCTCTTCGCGGCTGCGAAACTGAATCCCTTCGCCACCTGTGGACTGTCCGGCCCCTTGATCTCGCTCCAGAAGTCGATCGACTCCGTCGACGTGCTCTTCGACAGCGCTCCCCCCTCGCCGTTCAAGCACTCGAACACCTTCGACTGCTTCTCTACCGGCATCTTGCTAGCAGTCTCCTCCGTGGGCGTCTTCTTCGAGGACTTCGGCTCGGGAGCCTGATCCACGCGGGCAACTACGTCCCCAGCCACTTTGCCGGGTTTCAAGGCTTTGTTCCTCCAGGGAATCTTCGTCTCCTTTCCTGGCTCAGTTTTCGGAGACTCACTGTCCTTCGCTTTCTCTTCAGGCTTGGTCTTGACAGACTTAACTTCTTCAAGTTTCCTATCCAAGTTCTTCCCCTTATCAACTGGTTCCTTCGTCTTCTCCAAGTCTTCAATCTTCTTCACTTCATTCCCCTTCAACAAGGCAGACTTGGCTGCTTCAGGTTTCTTATCGAGGATCTTCAACTTGTCAGGTAAATCCTTCGTCTTCTCCAAGTCCTCGATCTTCTTCGCTTCGTTTCCCTTCAGCAAGGCGGACTTAGCTTCTACAGGTTTCTTATCAACGTTCTTCCACTTGTCAACTGCATTCGATTTCGAGTGTTCGATCTTCAGTGCTTCGTTCCCCTTTAACAAGGTCGTCTTCGTTACGTCGTTGGTGGTCGGTGTTGCGTCACCGGTGACAGCGTCGCCCGATCGGCTGTCCGGCTCCTGAGGTCGTTCGACGGGCCCGGTGACCGCGTCCGCCAAGGTCGCGGCTTTGTTCGCCTGGTTTCCCGGCAACGGATCAACGACGTCCTCGCCACGCTCGGTTTTCGCCGCCTTTGCCAGCCGCTCCGACCCTCGCAACGCTGTCTTTGGCGCTTCTACGGCATTATTTTCATCCGTATTAATTTTAGACGCTTTTGGCAGCCTGTCCGCGGCCGATGGAAGCGCTCCGCTGGCGCTGTTTTCACTGGCGGCCGGGTCAACAGCTACCGTCGCGCTCGACGACTCGCAAGTCGTCGGGGAGGGCTGCTCGCGGCCCGCGACACCGAGCTTTCTAGGTCTTGGGGGCTCTGGCCTCTTTTGCGCCTCTTCTTTTTTCGCCGCCGCCGCGCGAGTCGCGTCGGAAGCCTCTCTCTTGGCCGCTTTAGGCACCTCAGCTTTGTCCTCTTTCTTCAGCGTGAAAGCAGCTTTCGGTGAGCTCGGAACACTCTTGTCTTGTTCAGTCTTCTCCGTCTCTGGACTATCGTTCAGCTCTGCAGAGTCCTCAAGACTATCTCCGACAGCCCCATCGTCTTTCAAACAAGTCTCTAGCTTCTCCTTTGTCTTCAAGGTACCGTTGGCCAGCTTCTTCAGCGGGTCGCTCTTCTCTGGCGGAGTCTTCACCGTGAAGTACACGCTGTTCCTCGACGTGTCCTTAATGTACGGCCTCTTCACAGGTAGCACCACCTCGGTCTCCTCCTCCTCCTCCACCCTGTCAGTCTTATTCAGCGCTGGTTTTCTAGGTATCGGGATCCTCACGCTCTCCCTGAACTGCTCCCGATTCGAGCTGGGCTCGGCGTTCACCCAGACCGTGGAGAAGTCCCCGACGCTGTTGCTGGCTTCTATCTTGAACGCCTGCGGCCTGGACGGCTTCTTTTCGCTGGAGTCCTCGGATTGATGATCCACTGACACGTCGCTGGAGGTACTAGACCTTCTCTCACTGTTGTCCTCGTTAGGCGGCGAAGGCTTGTCAGTCGCTCTCTTCTTTTTCTTCACCTTTTTCAGGCTCTTCCTGATCTTCTGCGCGGTAGAATCCTCGCTCTGCGAGCTCTTGTCGTTGTCCAACGATCTGAAGAATCCAGGAGCAGCCTTGGACCCAGCGACCGTGCCTTTTTTGATCAGAGTACCTCGGCGGACTTCGTTTTCTATCTCAGCCTGCTCTTCGGCTACCAACGTGTCCAGAACCTTCGCCTGCACCTGGGCGTAAGCTACTTCTCTCTTCAGTTGCTCTGGGTCTAGCTGGATGTCTGTTGATGATCTTCTTCTAGTGAACCGTCTGGTGATCTTGTTTGCCTGCTGGAGACTGTCGGAGTCGTCGGAGTCCCTGTCCAAGCTGACCTGATGGAACAGTTGCGTCGACTTTTCTTTCTCCTTCTCCTTCTCTGCTTCGGGCTCTGGCTCCTTGATCAGGAACTTTTCAAGTAGCAACGTGCCGATCGTCTTCTCGTGACGTTCGTTGTGCTCGCGCAATGCTGGGTTGTCTTTTAACGCCTGACATCTGATCCTGATGGTCGGTCGGCCACGGCGCAAACGGTTCTGTTGATGGTTGGAGTCCCCGGATAAGGTTCTCGGCGTGGAGACGTCGATGTCCGCTGTGTCAATCACGCGCCTGATGTGGCTGGGAACCGACACCGGCGAGTACCGGTGCAGCCCCGATAGCGGAGACTCCGAGATCGTTGACAAATGCGGGGAGAACCGCGTGAACGGCGTGTGGTAGGATCTACGCGAGTTTTCTTCGTCAGTTTTCGAGGTTCAACCGGGTGGAAGCTTCTCTCTAGTAAGCGACTCTTCGTTCTGAAGGTGCTTATTGGGAGTTTAGGGATCTGGTTTTGTTGAAGTTCGAGGTTTGAGGAAAATCTAGGGAAACTAAAGGACTTTTGAGATACCTTTGAAAATATATTGATTTATTTCAAGAAAATGGCTTTGAAATATCTGTCGAAATAGAAATCTCTTTGATATCCTTCGGCACTGATCTTGAAAGCACAAATGGGGATATATAAGTACTTTATATATTGCGAATGAGAAATGTAATAGATACTTTTGGTATTTTATAGTTGATGAACTTAAGGATCAGTATATGCAGTCGAACGTCGATAAGTCGAATTTCTGTAACTGAAATTCGGTGTGTATTCCTTTCTACTGTGACTTTTATAATTCATAATTAGAAAAAAGGAATTACGATGGAAAATGATTTTCTTGAAAGATATTTATTATAAAAATCATTATACTTTGGATGTTTTATACAATATTTTGTGTTGCACGCATTTGCACTTTCAAACTTCCTATAAATGCATAAAAATTTGCAGTCTAGATCTATAATTATATATTAATTATGATAAAAAAATATAAATTTAAATAACTACATATCACAAAATCATTATAAACTGAACTTCCGTTTGTTAAACCTCTTTTACTCAGAAACTCGATACCACGAAACCTCTAGCTCCATCTTTTGTCTTCCCTAGAGATTCAACTTATCGAAGTTCGACTTGTCAAGTATTTTAACGCTCAGCCATTCGTATGGAGAAATCTCCCACATTTCATTTACCAGTGCATTGCCTTTTATTTTATCTATCTCTTTCTTTAGTTACTTGGTAACTTTTGAACTAAGGTTATTTGCAATTCACCAAATACCTTTCTCACTTTTATAAAACAACCTTCATTATAAAATCAGTCGAACGAGTTCAATTCAACGAAGAAAGTTACAGTTCTTTTTAGGCAGTTGTCTAAGTGTCAATAATCCAAATAAGGAAACAGATTTGCAATATTTAATCAACAATAAGAATTAAAGATTTTTTTAGTTTTTCTGGATCCAATTTACGAAGATCATGAACGAACTAACAAGGAATCCTTTTCAACCAGCGTACGTCAATTTTGATGAAACTTATGTGAGACATGATTCTCAAGAAAATATTTCACATGTATTTTTTCTTAAAACCAACATCCACTTTGAAGGGTTGAAAACACCCCTCAATATTGACGATTGAAAGTAAATCTTTACAATATCTCTGTAACTAGAGGTGTAAAAAAAATTATTTTTTTAAATTGTTCGCTTTGAAATGAGCAATGTAAATTTCTTTTACACAGCCCCTAATTTCAGATATATTGTAAAATATATATTCTCAGCCCTCAACTTCAACCACTCCATTTAATCTCAAAATGATTTCAAATATTCAATGCTTTTGCGACATCAGTAATTGTGAAACAAGAAAACCGAAACCAGTCATTTCTACTGATACTAGTATTAACCCCTTGCCACACAATGACAAGTGAGACTCATGACTAAGGTTTCCAGATTAATTTAACAAAACTCGATGTTGCTCATTCGTCACGGATCAAAGGAAAAAACTATTTTGCCATTATCAATTTATTACCTTCAAATGAAATTTCCGCTTGAAGTAGAACAGAAAATTGTTACATACCTCCCAAATTCTCTTTTCCTTTCAAATTGAAAGTAAATAATACGGTAAGGGGTTAAAATAGCCTTATGCTGGTTGAAAAGGTTCTGAAAGGGTGGTCCAAGGTGAATCAACTTGAGTTCTCACTGGACAAAGTACTCAGAAGAAGTTGCAAATCATCCAATGGTTCATGTTTAGCCAGTCATCATTGTTTAGCCAGTTGGGTAATAGTCAGTGACACACAATGAGTTGGAGCCCTACTGATAAAACCTTCCCGGCGCATCGTTTCAAATGCCAGAGCTCTGTTTTCGCGGTGCATTACGTTGCAGAATTAAAGAACACTTGTTAGAACGCGCGGCTGTGCCCGATGCCTATCGATCTGGCCCGGCCATGGTCACGAATGAGTGACAGGCTTCGATTCATGAATTGACCATCCATCGATGACACACGAGCGGCTAATGGGTACACGTGGCCGATGTTGACACAGAGGAGCCATTGCGGAGATATTTCAACCCCTTACTGCCAATGTCATCCGTCTCGATGAATCTTTCGAATATTGCTAACACTAGAACTACCGTACCAGTGAAAAGCTATTCATTATTTAACCAGTCAACCCTTTGCACTCAGAAGTTTCTCATTAGAAATATTTAACATTTTTTTATGAGACGAAGACGGTATTCTTTGAACCTAACTCGAAGGGAAATTAGAAGTATATTGAAGAGCAAAGCTATTTATTCCAATATTTCACGTATCGAGGCATTATACAAAGTTCAACATTAAATATCATGTTTTATAATTTTGCTACAAGTCGAATGGCTACTGAGAGACGCCTATGCAACTCGAGAATATTTTCCTCGAATAAATATTCATTTTCTGAAGAAGTGTCGATGATATTTTTTACAAGTAACATGAAGAACTACCTTGCATAAATTAAGTGACAGAACTATTTTACTTCGATGTTCCATGCGGTGATACGTAATATAAAATTTAATATTGAACTTTAAATTTTATCATTTTGTTGGGTCAAATCAAATGTTGATTGAATCGTTGAATCATTGAATCATTTTATTATTATTGCATGTTTATTTTACTAAATGTGACCGCATTAGGTGACGTTATTTATAATATAAAAATGTTTACAAGTAATCATACTTTCTGATTTACGTCAATTTCTATATTCATGTGAAACAATATATAGAGCATTTTCGAAATTGTATTGTAAATTGTAAAAGTGTAAATGTACATGTACAAAAATAAGTCAAAAATATACAATAAAATGTTCTCATAAGACTAATATTCTTTAAATAACTGAATTCGAGAATTAAGCCAACACGTTCGTATTGATGTTAGAAAGTAGAAGTGGCAAGTCATGGTCAGACAAACTCTACTGAATAAGAACTGACGCCAGACAAACTGTTAATCATTTATACTTGGAAGCTTTTCACTAGAATTATTCGAGACTTTCCGATGAAACATACGTGGTATTATTTGAAACTGACTAATGAGAAAACATACGTAAATAGGAAACAAAACTATTTTATATAAATATTTCACGTATTGATGCACTGTACAAAACTTACAGTACTATATATAATACTTTGTCATATCAAATTTTGTTATATTTTAATTTGAAATTTTGTTACATTTTAGTCTGAAACTTTGATTAATTTTGTTATATTTTAATCTGAAATTTTGTTTAATTTTCTTATATTTTAATCTGAAGTTTTGTTTAATTTTGTTATATTTTAATCTGAAATTTTGTTTAATTTTGTTACATTTCAATCTGAAATTTTGTTTAATTTTCTTATATTTTAATCTGAAATTTCGTTTGATTTTGTTATATTTTAATCTGAAATATTCTTTAATTTTCTTATATTTTAATTTGAAATTTTGTTATATCAAATTAAATGGACTGAGAATCACCTCTCGAGTACAAAGGGTCAAGCTCCATTGCTTCGAACACTTTTCCTTAGTTTTGTATATAGACCAATTCCCAATTGGTCCGCAATTGCAGAAATACCCTAGATATAAATGTTTCTACACAGTACACGGTACACGTGTATTCTGAAAATAAATCAATTTACCTCATTGCTTACGCATTTCTGCTGGCAGAAAATATTGTGACAAGCTACATAGTTAATGCTATCATCACAGAAATATGTTGCTACGTGTGTCGTTGCCATTGAAAGCTACAATAGGAAAATGAATAGTACTCGAGGAAACTACTAACCAAGTGATATACATATTCTATACGAATTTCTCTGCACAAAAGTAGAGCACAGTTGATTTTTTGGAAATTAATCAATTTATCTGTTTCCACATTTCTACTGGCAGAAAATATTGAAATAAACGAGTCACTGGTATTATCATAGAAATATGTTGCTGTGTATACTATTCTAATTAGAAGGTACAGTAAGAAAAATGATACTTGAAGAAAAAGTTAAGCAACACCTATATGTCATTTTTCTGCGCAAAACTAGAGCACATAAAATTTTCCTGGAAACGAATCAATTTACCTAACAGCTTCTACATTTCTGCTGACATAAAATATTATACCGAACGTCAACCAAAACTGATAAAATAGTAGTTAACCAAGTAATATATGTAATTTTTCTGCGGGAAACTAGAGCACAGACAATTTTCCTGGAATCGAATCAATTCTGAACCTAACAGCCACTCCACTTCAGCTGGCAGAAAATATTGAATTAAACAAGTTAGTGCTATTGTGATAGAAATATGTTACTGAACATGTTATTGAAATTAAAAGATATAATAAGAGATGAATAATAATTGACAAAAATGTTAACCAACTAATATATACAATTTTGTTTAGAAGCAAATCAATTTTCTTAACAGCTTCTGCACTTAAACTGGCAGAAAGCATTCACCTAAATAAGTTTCTACTATCACGATAGAAATGTGTTACTCGATATATTATTGCAACTAAAAGATATAATAAGAACCTGAATAATACTCGAAAAAACGTTAATATATACAATTTTTCTCCTTAAAAGTAAAGCACACAAGATTTCCCTGAAGACAAATCAATTTTCCTGACAGCTTCTGCAGTTCAGTTGGCAGAAAACATTCACCTAAACAAGTTTCTACTATCACGATAGAAATATGTTACTCAATATGTTATTGCAACTAAAGAATACAATAAAAACCTGAATAACACTTAAAAATAATGTTAACCATATACTTAGAATTTATGTATATAGTTAGTACATATACAATTAATATATACAATTTTTCTCCTTAAAACTAGACATAAGATTTTCCTAGAAATAAATCAATTTTCCTAACAGTTTCTGCAATTCAGGTAGCAGAAAACATTCACCTAAACAAGTTTCT